GCGCGCGACAGACGCGCAGGCAGGCAGGGCGGGCGGGCGAGTGGCCGGGAGGGCAGGCGGCAGCCGGGCCGGTGGCGACAGACAGGACAGCTTGCAGCGAGGGGTGCCCTGCGCTCGGCGGGCAGCCAGGCAGCCTCCCGCGGCAGCGGGCAGGCGGCCTCCTCACCGCTGCTGCGCCTCCACCACCGCCCGGTTGACCTTGGACTGCGTGAGGCGCAGGTCGCCCAGAGCGCGGGTGAAGAACTCGCGCTTGGCGGCCGCCGCAGCCCTCTCCTCCTCAGCCTGCGGGCGCGGTGCACAGCCGGGCCGCGCGGGGCGGGTCGGGCCCCAGCCAAGCGCCAATACCTCTCCCCTTCCGGCCAGCCACGCAGCCGGTCCGTCGCGGCGGCCGCTGCGAGCTGCGCGTCGCGGGCCCATCATGTGGCGGCAGCCCCGCCGCCCGGCACAGCTTTCCAGGTTTCCAGGCCTCCCCGCCAGGCTGCCCGCCTGCCCCCCACCACACAGGCGGCTCCCACCCACCTTGCGCTGCTCAGCTTCAGCCACCAGAGTCGCCTCCCGCTCCGCCTCCAGCCGCATGCGCTCCGCCTGGTCCAGTGCGGCCACACGGTCGGCAGGCAGGCCCGGCACCTGCAGGCGCAGGCGGGGAAGCGGGGGCGTACCCCCATAGGAGGGCAGGGTGCGAGGCGTGTGGGCGTGCTAGGGAGGAGGCTTGGGAGCCCCACAGGGGGCCCCCGGCGCTCTGAGGCACGCAGGGCGCCTGTGCAGGCAGGCCAAACCAGCGGGCAGGGCAGGGGGTGGGATGGGATGGCAGGCGGGGGCACCTGGGAGGCAAAGGGCATGGGGGGCGGCGGCTGCGGGTGGTAGGCCTGGCGGGGGGGCATGGGCGGGATGACCAGGGTGGCAGAATAGATGTCGCTTGGTGCGCCCTGCACACACACACACACACACACACAACACACACACAACACACACGCGTGAAGAGGCAGGCATGGCACGACACACGCGCGCGTGCACCACGCAGGCCGGCTGCAGGGGCCAGGCCACGGCCGCGGGCACGCGGGGCGGCCGCTGCCGCTGGGGCCAGGGCTGCCGCCGCCCGGCGCGGGCGCGGCGGCGGCGCGGGGCTGCTGTAGGGTGGGATTTAGGCGGGGAGTGAGGCAGGAGGGAGGGGAGGTGGTGCCCTGGCGCCTCACCGCAGACAGTGTGGCGATGTTGGCGGCGCCGGCGACGGGAGGGAAGGGCCCCGGAGGCAGCGCCCCCGGCACCGCCATGCCCCGCTTCACGCAGTCAATCAGGTACAGGGCCTGCACAAACTGGTGGCGGCTGTGGGCAGGGGGAGTGGAGGGGAGTGGAGGGGAGGGGAGGATGGCAGAGGGGAGGAAAGGGGGGCAGAGG